TAAGAGACCCAAACTCTAAATCAGTAATAGGGAGGATTATATTCTCTACACCCAAATATTGGCATGGCATCCAGAATTAATCATAAACAGAGACAGACTAAAAAACCTCTTTTATATGGAGACATAGTGACTAAAACAACTAGCGTACATTCTGCAAGTTCTGGATATCAGATCTAAATACTAAGACATAAGGCTGGAGAATTCAAGTTCAGTTTTTGTCATGTTTGTTATGACAGTAAGGAGAAAAGAGATCAAGAGATTCAACCAATTGCTGCTTTGGGGTAAACTTGCAACTCCACCTATTCATCATATTCAAGAAAAATATCTCAGCAATGTGTGTAACATCAGTATTTTTACATGTTGTTTTCCCAGCTGTGCAGTTGAAGCAGTGAAAGCAAAGCCATAAATCCCAAACTACAGGGTCTTTAGGTTACCTCAATGTTACAGGGAAAAAAGAATGGCTCTGCTGTTATAGAGGATCTAAACAAAATTTTACAGTTATGAATATAAACATAATTTAAAGAGCTAATATAGAACTTTTACAGTTAAAGTTACATATGGGCAATATTTCTATCACCCAAACTATTTCTTGAACTTAGTTGGGCAATAAACTGGTTTTCAGAACTGAAAACCAAATATATTTCAAGTCTCTCAATCATGGCTAATATTGATGTGATTAGGGATATTTAATCAAGAAAATCTGTTATCAAGGAATAACTGGATTTCACTTCCCCTTGCCACACAGAATTACCTGTGTAGTAGCAAGGAGGGACTGAAAATACAGGGAAGGTTCTTTAGCCATTAACCTGCATAAGGACAGGCACGTGAGTTTTAATGAACTTACCCATTCAGAATTTTCTGAGCAAAATGCTGAACACTCTCAAATGCAGCTGAAGGCCTTATCCAAACCACACTGAAATCACCAAGGCACCTTGCCATTTCTGCGGTCTGGCTTTAGACCAAACCCCAGAGACACGAGACAGACCTTTCCACCACCCCAGAGAACAGGCCTAAGGACCTGCTGTCACCACCACAGCCCCAGCTTCGGGATGCCGACTGTACCCTAGTGTTCCTATGCAGGATCCACATCCCCAGAACCTACATCTCTGGTGGTGAAACCATACTACAATGGTTTTGCCTAGGCTGGCATCCCACTAACAGCAGTCTGAGAAAGAAGAACAGTCATTCTCTTATACAATGGTTTCCAGTTATCACCATCAGTGGTCCTCCTGCCAGATGGTCTTAAGTTACTTTTGCATTAAGAGATGTTGTCAACACTTGTCATCACCTATCAAAACAAAGTTGTGGGAAATTCAGCCTTTTCATATACTACCTTTTGTAATCACCAGTGCAGTGCAGATGAATACAGTACATGCAAGACATGGAAGACATTTTTGCTAAAATATTTGCAATGACTGACTGTAAAGTGGTATCAGAAAGTTACATAAGCTCTTACAGAAACAAGATCAAAGGTATAATTTGGAAATGCTTTCTCATTCTATAAAAGAATAAACACAAAAGTTTTTCAGGATACAAACTGTGTTATAAAGACTAACAAAGTGATTAGGTGATTCTCATTACTCAGTTTAATACCACTGAAACCATGAGAAATCATTTAATAACATCAGATTGTTCAGGTGTGACATATTTGATACAGAGCTATCTAACTATTGTGTCATGGTTTAACCGCAGCCAGCAACTAAGCACCACACTACTAACTAAGCTGAAACCAGGACATATTGGCAAAAAGCAACTAGAGATTAAGGCAACACTTCTGTTACAAACCAAAACTGTGCTCCTTTTCCTTGCCAATATATTGGTTAACAACAGATGTGTAAAATTCAAGGCATGAAGAAGGAGGCAGTAAATCAACAGAAAAGGATGCCAATCACATCTTTCTGTTTTGTTGTTACAGACATCCATGCATTACCTGGAAACTATAAAAGCCAGCTGTACAATCATAATGAGCAAAAAAACCCTGCATATATTTTATGAAATCTAACAAAATAACATGCTTTATAGTAGATTTTTAGTTTCAAAACAAATCTATCTGATGCACTCTGTCTCCAGTTTTAAAGCATACAGATTCTACACAAAACAGCTGCATTGGCGTGGTGAAGTACTGAAACCCTACACCAGTAACGTTCCTGAGCAGAGCTCAAGATTTAAGATATAGGATAGATAGGAAGATTTAAAGAATATAGGATAATAGGTGGATTTAAAGGCAGTAACAGTGGTATTTGCAGCAGTGCTATTTCAAAGGTTAACACTTACCAATAAGCCAGATACAACTTGAATGTTTTTTAAGCTCTATTTTAGATTTATTAGATCTGATTTGAAAATTTTTTTCACTAAGCCTCATATCAGGATTTCCTTTTTGTTTTGTTGAACTGATCCAATACATTTCATTTTGAAAGGTTTGAACAAAGCAGTGAGTTTTCTTTCCCTGGCAATGCACTGCCAGATGGAACTGCAGAATAGGAACCCATATTCTCCTGCAGTTCAAAGTTCTTGATGATTACTGAATTCAAAGGGTAATATGGGTTTCCCTCTGATCACAATGCCTGATCATCTTTATAATCAGATGAAGATGGGTAAATCAAACAATCTGGGAAGCAGTATATAAGGAATTAAAGGAGTAATTGAAGCAGGATTCATCTTCACATACCTACAACATGAATGACCATAGCTGATCTAGTCACCTGTACTCCATTCTCAAAGGTAGCACTAAAACAGGCAATATGGACAGCTGAACTACGATTCCCAGCTTGCTTCAAGATGCACAAGCAGAGTTCACTGGTGAACTGGTTTTTCTTTTTCTTTTAAACAGTTCAACAAATTAACCTGAAACATTACCTTTTCAGGAATGTCTACCATGTCCTGTTGCTACTGAAAAGGTCTAAATGAGAATTTTTCAGGATTCCCATTTTGTGAAGAAAAAAAGAAATTATTCAGTCTGGCCTGAAAACAACAGTATGCCCTCCAGAATTTCCCATGACAATGCTAGAACAGTTCTGCTAGATATCAGTTTCCTTTGGAAAGGATCTTTCAAAGTGGTAGGAGATATTCCCAGCTCTACTGAAGAAATACAAAATTAATATAACCCTTGAGATTCTTATTCACTGAAAAAAAATTATTTTGTTCCATGGGTAAACAGAATAGATCTCCAAAGCGCACATCCATACAGGAAGCTCTATTTTATATTACAATTTTATTCACTTGTTATGAATATTCACAACATTAATCTACTGCAGATAATCTATTCAGTATATTTGAAAATCCATTTATTTTCACTTATTGATATGCATGTGTTACACTTGTATATAATACAGTATTTTCAGAGTTGGTTTAAGAACAAAGAAACAAAGAAAACAAATATTGAGAAGCATGATGTAGATTTTTGACCAAAGAGAGGCCATATTCAGGTTTTACAAAACAGCACATTTACACTTTGCACTGTCCCAGACAATCTCTTTAAGATGCTACCTTCTGTCCTGTACCTGTTAGCACAAATCCATACAATATTAATCCATCCTAAAATACTGAGATACTTAGTTGCTGCTACAAACCGTTTATCCTAATTAAATTTTAATCAGAAAAGAATATCTTTCCCTGCCAACATTTTTTATTATTTCTCAGTACAATGATAGAATATACTTCTCAATTTTATTCCCAACAGTCATTTATTTTATTTAAGCTCTCCTGTGCAATAATACAGCAGAGGTAATGAAATGGTTTTGGAACAGCAGGGGCTACTGTGACAGGCGGAGCACTCCAGGGTGTTCATCCATCATGGAACTTAATATATAACTACCTAGCCATGTCAATGGCTCGTAATGATAAAATCATTTCCCTCTTTTTCTAGGAGTCTGGTAACCACACAGGACTTTTAAATAAGCTTGCCCATATATACTTTTGACTACCATTAAGTGTGTGTGGTTTTCATTTCAATGCACCAAAGCATACAGTCAGAACTCCCTCACCCTCTCCAGTCAGCATGCTTATGCAGTGTCACTAAAAGGAATTGCCAAATTTCTGTTTTATCAATATTACAGATGGTACAATATACATTAAATGGAGTATAAAATTATACATTCTGTAATAACTTAGAAAAAAAGCTCATAGATGCTTAAGGCCTTTAAATATTGAGGATTATTTTCATGTAACAGCACATCACAAAGTTCAAAAATTGCTACTGAAACAAAAAATAAAAAAGTAAATGTGATTTTGGCAAGGATCAGATCTGAATTGGATGACTGTAAGCAAGCAAAATACCCACAAACTGTAAATCTGGGAGGGCACTAGGACTTTTTTCCTTTATAGCAAACAGACTGAGCAGACATCTACATAAGCATCCAACAGTACTTACGTTCAAGCAAGAGATTTTATTTTTTAATAAAAAGACAAAAAATTTTGAATGATTGCCATCCAATTTCATAATTGCAAAACTCATTTACATCCCTGCCTACCTTTATAAAAAGGGATGAAATACTGTCATTGACTGCTTACCATGAATTTCAATGAATTAAAGGTTGGGAAAGTAAAGTACATGTCAGGAACACCCATCTCCTTCAAACTAAATGGAAATGTATATCTTAAAGGTATAAAATGCCTTATAATGGAAGTGGTAATTGAGTTTTGACCACTACTTTTTTAACTGCCAAAGAGCTGCAGTAGTTGGTTAGCCTTAGGGAAACATGTCACCCTGACTATACATTCTAATATGACTGATGTATTCAGATAACTATTACTTGTCAACAATAATTATTAACAATGGATATATATTTCCATTCCTATAACAAAAGCAACTTCAAGATGTTGAAATATGTACCTTTGAGAGCTCCAAGATTAGAATACAAATAAAAATGTCTAAAACTGCGCCATGCCAGAGGACAATTTCTGCAACAGAAATTTAATTAAAGCGGTGTGCAGTCCCACCAGCAATCTGAATGGTGGACCAGGGATCATTTTAGAGAGAAGGAACCAATACATTTTGGAGGTTGACTTCATCAAGACGAAAAGCCACCGGCCTGGAATGGAGAATCCGAAAGATTGCTGCTTTTCTGCACCTTTTGAATATCAATTCTTGTGATTACAGCTGTAAATTCCTCAGCAAGTGCAATTTTACAAGTGTACACAGTTCAATCAGTTGAAATCTTTGTGACACAGAAGTTCAAAATAACTTTCCAGTAGTTTTGATCTCAAGGCTGTTGCTGATTACAAGCCAGGTTGTTACTGAAACAATTGATTCTGAAGGATACACCCCAGCAATATAAAATTTCACTTCAAGGATTGCCTGGAGGAATGAAATTCCTGTGTGTTGTGTTTAATGTTATCAGCCTTGAGACAGACTTGATTTGTCTTTAGCTATCGGGTTACCTGTAAAGAAAAAGAAAATCAGAAAATCAAAACTGTACATAGAGAATCTACTTCCAAAGTACTGGAAACCAAGACTGAAATATAAGATCTCTGTCCAGCAAAGCTCTTTCCATTGTTTCTAAATAAGTGAATAATTCCCAATGGTAATAGATGGGATTGCTCCCCAACTTAAACTGTGTGTTTAAGTGCTTTGTTGGAATTGGACCTGACAAGGAGAAATTGAAATGTGACTATGCTTAAAAATATAATAAAAAAATCTGAAGGTCACATATTACCAACCCACAAATGTCAAAAGCATTCCTTTCAAGGACAATTTCTGTATTTTGTTCATCCTTTTCAATGTTAGAACTTCTGCATGGTAACAACTATGCTTTTGTCAGCCATTGAGTATAACAATGACTGATACTGGAGACGTATTTTTCTGTTCTTTGCATACTACCTTAGAATGCAATGTCCAGTTAAGGGCTAAATGCATCTTACCAAGCAATAATCACTTTGCGGAGAAACAGGACAAAAATCATGCATAAGTAAACAAGAGATAGCTATATCCTGTTATTCACAAGGTATAAAATAACTACGACGGAGTTCACTTAGAGTGGTTTCACCCAGCCTAACAGGAAACAAGAGTGGAACAGAAGGATCAGAGAGAAAGAGTGGGAGACAAAGCATTTCACAGTAATTGGACTTTCCCTGTGTCTGATTTGGATTTTAAAAATCAAAAGAAAAAAAATAAATCCATCATATCGAAGAAACATAACTTTGAGGAATATTTCTGCTGTGTCAGTGGATACAATTAATGATCATGTAACATTCTAACATCAAATTGTGTCAGGGGACAACATCCCAGCTCTTGAGGAACAACCCATTGGAACGGTCACAATAACACTTTATGACATCAAGGGGCATATGCTTTTCATTTTGATCACAGTGAGAAGAGTCATGCTCCTTAATGATGAAACATTCTTTTGCCCTCAGCAAACCTGTTTGCATACAGCTCTTCTCAGCTCTGCAGAGCACGAACGTAGAGCAGAATATTAAAAGGACTGTTCAAGGAGTTCATTACTTCGGTTTGCCTTCTCCACCAAGTTGTTTCTAGGAACTGCACTTAAGAAGGCAATAATAAAATTGTGCTTTGTGATTTTTATGATACATAGGTTTATTTATTACACTGCTTTTATTTGGTTTTGTTCTTGCTGTTGGAAACAGCCTCATGTGGCCCCTTCTATAGTGGAAGATTGCCTGAAAAAATAACGAAGAATTAATTTAAAAGTCAGGCAACATATTTCTAGGCACGAAAGCTCAAAAGGCTGACACAGCATCTTATTGTTATTTATTTTTTGCTTTATTGTAAGAAGCTGGAATTCTACTCATGGACCCAGGTGCCACTGAGCTACATGATGTGAAATACATGTCTTCTGATCCTATCTGCAGGTGGATTTTTATTAGCTTCACTTGATATACATACATATATATGCAAAGCACACTGAAGACAGATCAAAGGATGTGAGACTCCCAAAGAGGCCATGTAGATTAAGGGTCAAAGCTTCTTACTTTTCCAAACAACAGAGTAGACCAAAGCCAAAGCAGAATCAGAGGATGGTTTTCTCGGAGGCAGAACTGGACAGGCACAGTCACTGGAACTCAGCTGAGTTCTCTGTTCTGCCTACATACCCACAGAGTAGACCTTTGCCAGCTGACTTTCGAGAGACCAAGTTGACCATGACCCAGCAATGTGCCCTTGCCGCAAAGAAGGCTAAAGGTATCCTGGACTGCATTAGACAAAGTATTGTCAGCAGGTTGAGGGAGGTGATCCTTCACCTCTGCTCAGTGCTGGTGAGGCTACACCTGCAGTAGTGTGTCCAGGTTGGGTTTGGCTCCCCAGTGCAAGACAGACATAATGCTACTGAATAGAGTCCAGTAAAGGGCCACTCAGGCAAGTAAGGGACTGGAGCATCTTCATATGAGGAAAAGCTGAGAGAGCTAGGACTCTGTTCAATCTGCCGAAGATCAATGTGTACAAATAACTGAAGTGAGGGTGCAAAGAAGATGGAGCCAGGCTCTTTTCAAGTGGCGCCCAGTAACAGGAGAAGAGACAATGGGCACAAACTGAAACACAGGAGGTTCCCTTTCAGGAAACACTTTTTTACTGTGAGGGTGACTGAACACTGGCACAGGTTGCCCAAGGATGTTGTGAAGTCTCCATCCTTGAAGATATTCAAAAGCCATCTGGTCCTGGGCAACTGGCTCTAGGTGGCTTGACCAGGGGGTTTGGACTTCCAGAGGTGCCTTCCAACCTTAACCACTCTGTGATTTATTATTTCTATTACATCCAGCTCTGCCAATGCATAGGCTAAGGTCATATACTGCAGCTAGTAAAAACAGTATTTTCACACACACGCCTGCTCAGTTACATGGCTGTTTGGAAGTGCAATTATGTTCTCTTCAGTCACAAAGAAACTCAGTACAATCATAATCTGCAGGCCTATCTGCTGTCCCCCATCTAGCTCTACAACTGTGTGGTGAAAATATCCCTATAAAAGCAACATACACTGTTACATAGAATAAATAGGTGATATAAAGAAGAAAAAAATCAGATAGCCATTCAAATCTCTGCTCTGTAACAGGTGGCTAATCATATACAAAGGTCATTTTGTTTATACAGACTGCGCAGGAAGTCAAGCTGCATATTCCTAGTTTTTATGATTATATGATTGGAGTTTTTAACTGCTTTCCCTTGCCAGAATTTTTATTATTCCACCTGCCCTCTTTTTTTCTTTTCTTTTCTTTTTTTCTGTTAACTTCCAGGTCACAGAATGCTACTCTGAGTAACATGCATAGTAGCCCACATTTGCCTCTGTGTAAGAAGGTAATATTTGTTATGTGCAAGCACCGACCAGACATTAACATTAATGGAAGTTATACATCCTTACACATTAGGGAGAGAATAGACCTCTTAAATTCTAAAGGCAGTTTGATAAAGAAGCAATGAAATTTTAGCTAATATCTAGCAATGGTATTCCCAGAAATGCTTAATTTTGGATATAGTAAAAGCTATTTGGTTTGAGTGGCTGGGAAGCAAGGTATTGTGCCAAAGGTCTTTATAGGACAAGGGGGACTGATAGCAGCATCTGTCTGATCTTTAAAATCCTAAGAGAACAGTAACACACTGAATGGGTGCAAATCAAGTCTAATCAATTTTTCAGTTAATAATTAATATGTACGGAAAATTAACTTTGCTGCTGTTTAACAATACAAATGAAAAAAAGGACATAAAACCTTTAGCATCCTAGGTGTTGATTTGAATTAATTTGTTCATTCTTGGAACATAATTACTCCCTTTATGCTAATATATTTTTTCACATGGTTGTTATATCATAAATACAATGCATTAGACTCTCTTCACTTTCTTGTACTAAATGTGCAATTAAAGTATAATTACTCTGCAGTTGCAGACTTTTTAATTTAAATCAGTGAGTGGCTGCTGTAAATTGGCTGTAATTGTATGTGAAGTCACTTGTTTTATTTTAAAACAATATATAATTGAACGCAACTGAAGTTTTCCACGTTTCTTCTGCTCACTAAACGTTCAAAACAGATTCAGTCTTTGGGTAACCCAGAATAGACCAGAGAAGAAAAGACCTCAAAGGCAGTGTATTAGAAAAGCTACAAGCTCAAGAGATTTTCTGGACAGCTTCCATTCCACTGCAGTTGACAATGGGGGAAAAATATCCTCACTTGTGAAATCCCCACAGCTGATAAATACAGCAGATAATACCACCTATTCCATAAGAACAGATTCCCAGTAAAAAAACAGCCTGATATTTTTCTGAAGACTTCCTTCTGCCTTAGAAGAGGAAGGAAGGAAAATCAAGACTATAAGATTTAAAGAATGGCTGAGTGAATATTCTCTGAATAGTAAAGCACTTTTCCTTACTTTCAGCCACCTAAGCATCAAAGTTACAGGATCACAATTAGGTATAGTACAAATCTTCTGTTTCTTCAGAGAAACAAATATATCACTAATCGTTTGCTAAGTACAGAATAGTTTATACATGCTAATGAGGCACATAATTCATTATCATTTAATAATGTTAGAAGAAAATAGGTAGCAATATGTGGCATATTGAAATAAGTGTGTAGTGGAACATTTCATAACACAACTTTGTACATTACTATTTTTTTGACTGGCAGCTCTTTCCATTTTTTTCTATGTTCATTACGAACCATACACAAAATCCATATTAAAAGCAAACTCTTGAGTTTGCAAAGTCAAGCACTTGAAAGTTAGCAGCTTGCCTTTCTACAGGTGCCCTTGCAACTCCAATTCTATCTCTTTTCCATCGTGCACAATAAACAGAATTTAGTGGGGGAGGAATGTTGGAGGGAAGCCTATTATAATGTTGTCAAGACTATGTATCAATGCAAATACTGAAAGAGGCAAACTTTTAAGCCAGTGTTCCTCCCTCCACAGATGATTTAGCACTATGATGGACCTTCTCTTCCAGGTTTTTGCCAAAGAATATAAATAAACACAAGAAACAGAAAGAACTTAATACTGGGATTTTTTTGTAATTAGAATTGTTCCATCAACTGTATAGGATTGTGTGTGTGTGTGTTCATAGCCTGAGTGTTGTCTGAGCATACTCAAGAATCATCAAGCTATCTTTTTTTTTTTTTCCCCGAGGTACGTAAGAGACAGAAAGGAAATTATTTTTGTAAAAGCAATCAATAGCTCACGCTGAGCTAAGTGGAATTTCATGAGACAAAGAAAAGCCATCTTGGTACTCCTAGCACTCTTCTGTAAAATATTAAAGGCCAGTGGAAAACAAAAATCGTGTGGGGATTTCTTTGAAAAATAAAAAGGGGCTCACAAATATATTGAGATAAGCTAAATACAGGAGATAAACTAAATACAGGGAATGTCACAAGAATCCCTTAAATAAATGCTTGAAGAAAGAGGCCTAAGAAATGGCTTGAAGAAACACCTAGTTATGGATTGTCCTCCAAGACATGGAGATAAGCCAGAGATCTCATACCAAGACAACCCTTATTTGTATGCAGTACCTTTCCATCCATTTCGTGTCCTTATTTTTATATTCTTTCTTATACTGTACATAAACAGACCACAAAAAAAATTAATAAAACATGGTCAACAAAGTGATTCTTCAGCAAACCTTTCCTAATAAGGAATGGACTTGAAGAGGGCTATATCAGTCATATTTTTCCATTACATAAATAACTTTGGTTTGGTAGTTAAAACCTAATACAAATATTACAATGCAGAAACAGAAGGGCCCATACAACCAGAGACAAACATCTGCCAATGCATTTTTTCCACTTATGCTCTCTGCGAATGAGGTCGAGGTTGGAAATGAATCTTTTGAACAGATGGACGCGCACTATTTCCTGGAACTTCAAAATCCATACTGTGTGTTTGCCATGTGCTATCATTCATACATGGCTTATGAAAGCAAATGACAGTTTGCATTGCCACTTGTGCATGTTTATTCACTGGAACAGTTCAACTTGTAAGCTTGGAAGGTGCTTCTAATCTAATACTACTACCTCGTACCAGTGATACTCAAAAGTACTTTGCAAATGTTAAAAAAGGACAGGCTCACAATTTCCTTACAGCTTGAGAATCCTGTAATTTATTTTCTGAAGAAATGGGGAAGCTGGACAAAAAGAGCTGTTAAGGGCATTTTTGCAATAGGGCACCTATATGCATATGCTCTTAACAGTAGACAGGTGTGGATTTGGGTATTTATACCAGATAACTAAGTTTCTGGGTGCACAAGGAACCATTACAAAAGTCCGAGAAATGTTAAGGTGACCCTACCATATTTCAAGGGTATGGTTGATAAAGTAACTGCAGCAGAGAACTGTGAGTTAGGAAATAGGCTCTTGTTTCAGTCTCACAGACCGTTATTTGACTTGGGCTGATGACAAAAGGCAAAATTTGAGTGATTTGTGCGCAGTTTGGGAAACAGATATTTAATGGTAACTACATGGATTCATTTACCTTCAGTAAGGATTACATATTGATAGACTTTTTTTCAAGTCTTCAGACGCTTCATTCCCACTTGTAAAACTTTGGCCCTACCTAACTTTTGCTATCAAGACTCAAGAGCTTTAAATTTTTCCCTTAACTTTATTTTAGACACTGCAGTATGAAAAGTGTTAGTCTAAACATGTTCCTAAGCCCGTAATAGAGCAATTTAGAATTCTAGAACCTCAGGTCTGTCCTTCGGCAAACATCTCTAACTCATTTTATTAATTAAACAGAACATTTCCCAGTACGCTTAAATGGCTCAAAAGTTCCCAATGTCTTTGATAACTACCAGATGCTAAAGCTTTTAATTTTTTCATCCTTTTATTACACTGTGACTAACCAGAATTTCGTTTGTGATAATTCTTGTGCTTAGGACCTTCCATTAGAAAGAAACAAACATGTTGAAAACTCATTTCACACAATGTCATTTGAAATATAATTCTATATTTCATGTTTTCCCATTGCTCTTAATTATTTCAGCAGAAGATTTTTGGTGTTAAAAGGAAGACCTAGCCAATCAGTATTAAAAATTGTAATTAAAACTAAAAGGGTTTGGAAATCTTTCACATGTAAATTGAGCTTTCCACTAGCTTCAAATAATCTTAAAGTTATGACTAGAAAAATAGGCAAAGGAAAAATGCTTTAGAGCATGGCATCCATTCCTGAAAATGGCAGAGTTCTTCCTCATAAACATGGTTTTAAGACTAAACGGACAACATCTACTGTATCTTAGGAACATAGTGGAAATACACCTTTCCCAACTTTTTCTGAATTTTAAGTAAACCAGTATGGGATGCTGAGCTTTCAACTACAAAGCAACACCTAACTGAACGTACCAAGATGTATTTCCTTTTTAAGTGTTGTTCTCTTCTCCAGAGCACCTGTTGCTTTCCCATGATAGTGAGTAACTTTAAAGTTTATCAACTGGGTCTACCTTTGAAAGGACAGTGAGTGAAGAAAGACGTTGAAAAGCTCCCAGAAGCATCTGACTGACACACTGAGGCTGCTTAGGAGTGCAATGCAGAGTCTCTCCAGCCACCCTCCTGAAGCTCTGCCCAAATAAGCCACAATTCCTGGGCATCAGAAGCAAACTAAGCAACTACAATGAGGAGTAAGCTACAACGATTCCTGTTAATACTGTGTAAACCTGTATTTGTACACACCTGCTGCTCTGTGAGTAATAAACCAGGGCTGGAACACATTTTCTGGAGTGGTTTGACTCTTTATTCCTCAGCGAACGTTCTGGCCCTTCCTTAGAATCCGACCAAGACTAGGATTCATCACAACTAGTGCTCCAACGTGGAGCCAGAATATTTTGTGTGTGTGGAAAAATCAAAAATTGTCATCAGGCACAGCAGAAACCTCCTTTCTCTACTTCTCCATTCGGACTTGAGGAGTTTTACACGTTTGCCTAAGAAACAAACACATGTCAAGTACTACACTGTTATGGAATTAGTTAGAGAAAACAAAACTGGGATAGATGAAATTTTCTTTAAATTACAAGGAAAAGTACAAAATTACAGGAAAAAACATATTTCAGAATCAGAGCAACTTCTCTTAGCAAAAGAGCATGATCTCAAAAACACCCCCAAGCAATATCAGTAACCCCAAAGGAAAAGGTTTAAACATACTGAAATTCAAACTCATTGATTTGTCACCAAAAAACAATAGAAACTGATAGATAACATTCATTTTTGCAAATATATCAACAATCTTTAACTATGACAAAACAGTAATTGAAAAGTTATTTGAAAATAAGTCCATAGATAAACCTGTGGTACAGAAAAGAGCCATGAAGTCACAACACGATTCCTTCTAAATGAAAGATTTGAGTGTGTTTTTCCCATATATGTTTAAAGTAAAGAAAAAAATAAACCCAAAACGCACGAAAGTTTAAAGTTTGAAAATGTGAACATTCTGAGGAGAACTCTACTTACAGTCGTTTCTATGGTTAGTAGATTACAGGAAACACCATAAAATAACAGATGATATGTTTCAAAAGACAATATTCAATTCAGACAGCTAGTTACTTATCTAGACATTTGAGCTGATAATGATTGCTTCCCAAAAGGGTTGCACAGCACCTCAAAAGATCACCTAAATGTCTTTAAATAATGCTTACAAAAAGATTATTATTTTCTTTTTTTTTCTCTTTAGTCTCTTTGACTTAAATATCATGCTGCGGATCATTAGAAACATACGTTACAAGATTAAACTCATATCTTTGATAACTTGTTGCTTTAATAAAATCTCTGCACACTTAAATACTATGAAACAAATTAGCATGGCTCTGTATTCCTATTTCCTTGAACTTGATAGTTTACAAAAAAAACTTAGCTGATACAACTCACTGGGACAATTATCATAGTGTATATCCGATGAAGACATATAAGTTATGTCAAGCCTAAAGCTAATTCATTAGTCTTTTGAATGTACTTCATTTTTATTCTCTTACAAAAGGTAATGCCACTACAATGTGCATACCCAAACTTTCCCAATGTTTTTATAACTCAGCAGAGAAATTGTTCATGGTAGAATTGTTTTAACTTACAAAATTTTTCATTTACAGACAACAGTTTGATATTAAAAGAAGACTTAAACATAAACCTTATTTTACTTTCTGTAACAGATAATAACTGTAGCAATTCAGACAAGGATATATCCTCTTGAGGTTTTTGTGGTGATCACAACTCCATAGTGGGACTGCAGCATGGCGGCATAAAAGACTGCAAGACAATTAATTAAACAAATGTAACTTTCTTCTCTTTTACACCACTTATTCCATCTAGTCATCTCAAGTGGGAGATAAAAACAACCTCCTTCCTTTTTACAGATGAGGAAACTGAAGCATAATAGTCATGCTACCCTTCCAACTGTGAGAAAGTAAATGGAGAAGGGGGGACAGGAACAGAGTCCTTCTGTCTTTGGTTTTATCTGACCTCACTTTCCTAAAGAAAAGCCTACTGTTGTTCTTGATTGAAAAGGAAAACCTGTAACAAGCAGTTTCGTGTGTTTAATATTCTAAAAATGAAAAAAAACCAAAACAAAACCCCAGTCTTGTTTTAAAACTAGGTTGAGGTTTTAAATTGCCTAATAGGTATAATGGATTTTAGTCTTTTAATATATTTTTTCAGAAATTGGGTAAGATAGAACTTTAAATTATCCCCGCGAAAAAAAACAGGTAGTCTAAATTCATCACATTTTATATCTTTTTCTTCTTCAGATATTTATGGTGTGTTATTTTTTCTGAGATTTTGAATGGAGAGTATAAAGCCATTTGGACGAGATCAAAATAGAAATGTAAATTATTTCCTTACCTGTAATTTTATCTTCTCTATGAGGGTACCTGCTTCTCTGTTAGTGCAGTACTGATGTGTTTTCTGCCTTTGTCCCAAGCTTCAGAGATTCCTCTGGTGATTTTTCCCCACTTGCTTACCAGCTTCCACTGCTGGCATTTTGAGGTAGTGCACTCACATTTGGCTCCAGGAATACTGCCACAGCTGAGGGAATATAAGACAACTAAAAAACAAGTTAGAAAACAGCAGAGCAATATCCAGGCAGGAAAAAAAAATGTTTAAAAACAATGAACCAGTCATCAACTTGAAACCCTTCGATCATTTTTCTCTCTCTTTCCATCCATTTAGAATCTCCACATGAAGAAAAGACTTTCCTATGCTTGAAGAAATTTTAGCCAAAGTAGTGGGTGCTGACAGAGTAGTGGGTACCCATTCAGAGAAGATAAAATTATTTTAAGGGAATCTAATTTTAACTTTCTCCAGTATGAGTACCCATCACGCCATCACTCTAATACAGATAAGAAACAGAAGAAACGTGGCAGATTTGGAGGATTTCAGAATAATCCCTGTAACCCTGTCTCAAGTCTTAATAGAACTGGGGAAAAGGAAGACTCAAGGGCTTTTCACCTAAAAGCTGTCATAGATGAACAATTAGAAGGATTTCTCATTGCCCAGGGAAAAATACACACAGTCTGGTTCACTAAGTAGTAGTCAAGATTGTGGTTGCTGATTCCCAGCTGATAGTTGTAGTCATCTTGGTCATCAGAGAAAAAGAAGGGAAAAGACAAACTAATACTGTCAATTTAATAAGTAAATAAATTAAACATAAGACAGAGAGCATATCCACCATCCATGCTTGAAGTTGCGTGTAGATGACAAAAGTTCACTGTCATTCTTTTTCATTTTTCATACGTAATGGTCACAAGTTCCTGTGACATTCTTGGAAGAAGATAGCATAACACACTGGTATTAATTCCAGAAAATAATGGCTTTGATGCTTTTCCCTGGCATTTGCCCTGAGCTCATGATAAACTGATGCACGTTACTAGCATCATTCCTGAACTGATTAGAAATGTCTTCTTGCTTGAGTATTATGGAGATTTCCAGGTGAAAGTTGCAACTTCCTGTAACTCCTCTGTACTGAGGATCACCTTAATACTGTTTCTGCACTTCACAGTACAAAGAAAAGATGTATCCTGTCAAAGGAAAAAACGAACTCTAGAAATTCAACTAAGAACCTGCTTTGGTATTCAATTTAATTTGTCTTTCTTAAAGAACCTAGCCAGTTGTCTTCATACCTGCATCTTCTCATTATCTTCTGACTAGTATGTGACTCAAGACAAGGTAAGTATGAATGAATCAGACTAGCTAATCACAATTAGTCACTGGTATTCTAAAATCTCAAGTAATGAAGTAAAGACCAAAAGGCTCTGAAGAGGCTGTTGCCTTCAAATTTCAGGAATGTAAGTACCAATGAGATGTGCTTTAAGGTCAAGAGAGAGAAAAAGGAGTCTGGTAATTTCTTGAATGACCCTCCAAAAAGAAATTGGCTTTTCAAGTAATCAGCTTCAAATTTGCCAAGCTGCATTCTAGGAGAAAGTCTCCCGTTCCTTTTTCGTACTTTGAAAATATTGAACAATAATTATTGACAACTGGAATTAGAATGATGCCTTGAGGATGGTAAATTTGCTATGATCTTGTTTTCCAAGGTCACTCTGAAAAGATGATAAGGAGGCAGGACAGAGGGATCTTAGAATTCTAGAACAAATACTCTGATTTTTCAGTGCATTTGCCTGAATTGGTAACAGCACAAGCAGAGGTAAAGTCCCTTGGGCTTCTTTTGGCAGGGACAGGTTCCGGAGCCACAAAGCTTGAATTCAAGACGAAGGAAGAAGCTGTTGTTCTTCTGGCTGGCATCAGTAAGATATTTTCTGTCATTCTTGAACCTGAAGAGGCAAAGCTGTTTTGGACCTCTTAAAATATGCAGCTCCATTAAAATTCTCAAATCTTCTGTTACTACTGAGTTAGACACAATCCATTGTTTCCTTGAGATTATATCCATCTTCTTAAACTGGAGACACACTTGTGTTCACTTCTGGTTTTAGAGGTCTTGCCAATATAATTATACCAGTCACATCATACAAATCAGTCATAGTGAACCGGATATTTTGTAGCTTCACCCAGAATCTCCACTTCAGAGCTCTATGACATTTCTCATTGCAGATGTGGAAGGGGATAAATGATGGTCAGGACTGTAAGATCTGAGAAGGAATCATCTGTGTATGCTAATAATGCAGTAGAACAAAGCTCAAAGTCCATTTTATAGAACATATAAAGTCCTTCGGAGTCTTTTCTCCATGCACAGCAGTAGTGTCTTTCCTAAGATGAACCTGGTGTTCACCAAGGTGGTGGAAGAAGGAGTAAACTACAAGCTATGAAGATGAACAATTTTGAAATTCTCGTAGAAATTAATTTTATGTTGGTCCTCTTCTTTTCTAATTTAGTCCTAGACATCAATCTTCCACTTATTCTTGCCTGAAATACATTTTTTCTTCATTTTGAACAGTTCTCAGATAGGACAGAACTATCTTCATTTTTCTTATGGAGAAATAAGCAAGATTTACAGCCATGCTCACTTTGCTCTGCAAGTGAATAATATCTTAGTAATCTGATTTCAGCTGGTTTGAGAGTTGTTCACTCCTCCAGCGGTGACTGTGCATAATGCTCTGTATGACTGACTTTCTCCGCTTGATATTGATTATTATCCATTTCCTTCCTTCCCTATGAGAAGGCAGAAAAGCAGAGCTGCAAAAGGGCAGTACTTCTAAGATTTTCTATAAACAGTCCTAATGAGTAAGGAAAGATCTCGAGAAAACTATGGGATTTTGGAGAATTGAAAGTAATACCTTTTGGACAGTTGGGGGCCACTTTTCCACTCCCTCATATCAGTTCTGCAACTAAGTAGTGATGCAGTTTTTGAAGCCTGTGCCAAATACCCATGGAAAGAGGCAAGAGTTCTCCCTGCAGCTATTCACGTAGTAGGTAATTTGAGGTTTCAGAACACTCCAGTCCCTCTGAGCTGAAATGTATCATTTTTGACTTGCAGAAATGATCC